AAGGGAAGAGTTAGAAAGGTCAGCTATTTCATTTGTTATATGCTTTTAGAAATCTCTTCTGAGCTACTCATGGAGGATTTGGGGAAATGTTATCCCTTAAAAGGAAAAAAAAATTCCTCAGAACTCTTCAGAATTAACACTCTATCATGGCCCAGATAGCATTAAAAAACAAAAATTAGGCTTGCAAGATTTATTTGAGGTGCTTTATGTAGGCAAGCCGTCTGCCTGAAGAATGTAATCATTTGCTTCAGATATTTGGGACACTAAGTGGATTTAAGGCTCTTTTCACAGCTGTGTAGCTGGAACAAAGGATGCAGGAGCTACCAGGACTGTGAGGAAGAGTGCAGCAAAAGAGAAAGGGCTGTGTTTGTGTTCTTTGAAGGAGCCTAACCTTTCTTTTTCCAAATGCTTCTCTGCCTAGAACTTAAAATTCAAGGGCAGCCCAGATATCAGAGATTTGCACTTGGGACCCTGCTCTTTCCCAGGGAACTTGTCTGCTTCTGCATAAATGGATATCCTGATCTGAGTGTCCCTTCTCTGAGAAGGCTAAAGATGAGTGCTTCTGGAGCTTGTTAATAAAGTTGTTCTCTCAAGAGAGAAGAAGGATGGGCAGATGCCCAAGCATTCTGGGATAGGGGAAGGTGCACGAGAAGTTATTACTTAATCTTAGGTACTTTTTGTTTTGAAATTTTGAAGAATTTTTTTGAAGAATAAGTACAATATGTATGTGTACATGTGTGTTGTGTGGGTGAATGTGCCTTCACACATACATTTGCATAAACTAATGAATAATCATAAGTAGGGATTTGCAGCCATACAGAGTAATTAGCAGTCTCATTAAGGCTTTGTGTAGCCTTCCCTTATGTGCATTTAAACCTGTTGGGTTTACTAGGGACTCTAAAATTGCATCTAAGACCGACTTTCTTGCAAACTTGTGAAGAATCGATCACTTAATTTTCTCATGATTCTCAAACAACCTAATTGAGACAAAACACTCAGAATCTGGGGGAAAGATTTGCAAGATGTGAAGGATAAATTTAAATTTTCTGACTGAGAGCTCTTTCAGTTGATAATAAAAGTCTTGGGGTTTACTTTCTTGAATAAATAAGAAGCAGCAAGGTATGATGGTACACGCCTATAATTTAGGAGGTGGGGGCAGGAAGATCAGGAGTTCCAGCCTGGGCTACATAGTGAGAGCCTTTCCCAGAAAACCAAAACTTCACCACTAGGGTGGTGAAAGCACTGGCAGAGGGCTCACTGGGCTTGCTTTCTATAAGCTGCTTTTTAAAACAAATGCCAGTGCTACCTTGTTCACTATTTACCTCTTTCCATTTTGAAGATACCAGGTAGTTACTAACCACTGGTGGCTCAATGGTACATAGAATGAGTACTTTGAATTGTACTAGAGAAGTAATAGTGGTGGTCTAATTCATGGACTTCTGTTTGGTGTTCCTGGCCACAGACAATGAACAGTATATGGTCTTTACCTGTGACATCAGTCGTGGTCATCCTGATTTCTCATTTTACAAACATGCTGTCTTTGAATCACATTCATAAGGGAAGTGGATTCACTGGGAAGTGGATTTTGCCCAGTGATGATGAACCCATGCTGATCCAAGTGCTGCTCCAGAGTTCTTTGGTGTGCCCAAGAACTTTCATTTACAAGACAAAATGGCCGGCTCCCAGGCAGGAATAAGTGAAGTAACCTGGACCATGTAAATATTGTCACAGTAGTTTTCAAGGCAAACTGAGTTACACCGTTTTTATTTTTCCAGAGGTTTTTTGGATTTGTGAGCAAGGGCAGGGAATAAAACCTCATAAGAAAAGAATTAAATTAAATCATATTTAGTTTTCGTTTTAATTAATTAACCTATTGAAAAGAATACAATTATAAGAAATTGAGAATGGCCCAGAGAGTTTCAGATTTATCTCTTGGAATTCTGATTTCCTTCTGAACCCCCAATCCATGTTTCAACTCCATTTGGATGGCTGTCAGGCACTCCTAGAAAGCAAATTCTTTATCTTCTTTCTCAGACCTCTATCTCTGCTTATGCTTTAGGTCTCTGATGTTCTTAAGTTCTTTCTAAGTCTGAGTCATCCCTCCTCTTTGCCTCCCACATAGCAAGTCAGCCACCTTGGCTTATCACCTCTCCCTGTCAAATGACTGCTTAGTCTACCCTTCATTCGAGAGCCTCTGCCTTAATTCAAGCCTCAGTCATCTTTCCCAAGCAAGTCCTCTTCATGTGTCTCCTATGTCCAGCAACATAAAATTCACAATCTGGTTTAGCACACCTGGTCCTTCCTGATTCCTTCTCTCCTAGCCGTAGCCCTGCCCTCCCACCCCCAGCTACTTTCACATGAAGTCCTTTTACAACTCCAGCCTTTGAATGAGCCTCCCCTGCTGAGCACCATTGATTCACCAATTAATGCCTGGCAAAAAGTGTTTCTTTCTTTATGGCTTGATTTCTTATTCCACCTAGTTACTCTCTTCTCTGTGTCCCCAAATCAACCAGCTATACCTCTCATACAGGCTAATTACCTGCTTGTCTTTCTTCATCCCTGTAGACTTAGGTCTCATGAAGAACGAGGACTATGTCTTAACATATTTCTAACAATCAGTCAAGTGCCTGATGTTATTGCTAAGATCCCAGATGTTTATCGAGTGAAGGAAAGAAAGAATGAAAGGAAGAATTAAACCTGTGTCCTCAAATATATGATCAAGTGTTCTAAGGGGCATCTAGCCTCAATCGAGTGCATCTCCAAAATAACAGACTTGAGCAGATCTACTTTTACCCTTGAACCTGTGCAGTCTTAGGCTATCGAATCTTTCTTCTAAATGCTTTCCCTTCTGTACTCTTCCATGCGCATTATTGATCTCTTACCTTTACATCCCCAAAAAAATTATCAACAAACATAGTTTTTTCTGTTATATCTTCTTTATTAAGAGCTCCCACCCCATTTTCTTGTGGTACTAAGGTTTAACTCAGGGTCTCATGCTTGGTAGTAGGCAGGCCCTCTATCTCTTGAGCCACGCTTCCAGCCGAAGAACCTTCCCTCTCTAATAGCAGAATTCTAATTATACCACCCAATACTCAGCCTCAACCTTTTTTGCCCCTTTCCTTCAGCTTTGGTGTCAGGAACATAGTTCTTCCTCTTCTGAATGGTTCCAATGAAATGGATCTGCTATTAAAAGCAATGGGGCCTCTTGCTACTCCTTAATAATCTCCTTGTCACCACCCCAGTGGATGACTTCTGAATCGACTGCTGACTGCTCTCGGTTGCCCCTGCCAACAGCAGCTGAAATTCCCAGACTGTATGCACACAGAACAAGCAGCCCAGGTGGAGATGCCAAACAGGTCCCCGCCCCACACACCAGCTATGCTCCACAGTGGGAGGAGGAGGTCAGGTGAAGATCAGCACTCAGAGCAGCTCAAGGTGATTCATCTGGTGAGGATAGGGAAGGACAACACGTGCGCTCAGGGGGAGCATGAGCCCAAGTCATGGAATATCTTCCCATTAAAATTGGGTGAAATCTATCATGTGACACGATGACAGGGTTTGCTCAATAAAAGTGGTTTACGGTTCACTTTCTCCCAAAGTAGAAAGCAGCAAGGATAAAAGCCCCTTTGAAAATTACGTGTGGCTTGAGAAGTAGGTATTAGCATTCTAAGACAGTCATGGTGGTGTGAGTGGAACATGCTCTTATTTCCTTTATCTCTCACATACTTGTTCATTTTGTGTGCTGTTTTAAAACAGTGGCATTGAGTGTTGTTCCTCTTCTGTGGGGATTATTCCTTTACTCCTTGACATTCTTTGGACACCAGAAGATCTGGAAGAGCTTTGATGTTCTTTTTTTTTATAATAGAGCCTTGGGAATCACTTACAAAAGATATATGTGATAGGCAGAGTGTTTAACTTTCATGAGAATCTAATTTTAACTGTGCTTTCCTAACTAAATATTTAGAAGTTCAGGTTTTAATCATATGACTAATTCAGAGCTCTAGTTCTTTTAATCCCATGCTTAATATATCAATGACTGCTCAAACAAGATTGAGTCTATAGTTGGTTGACCCACTCCTAAGATTCTCTACTAAGATCCCTTCCCTTTCCCCATATAGTTTTGTTCACAACCCCCTCAACATTGACCATTTCAATAGCACTGTGCCTGGAAGCATTAGAGGGACTCACTGAAGTCAAGGTGATAGATAGACTTCAAGGGTCTGAGCACCAAATGGGAGGGGACCCTTACAAAAATGGTCATGGAATAACAGAGAATGGGAAATGACCATGATGCACTGGAGATGGAGGACACCGTATGGTGTGGCAATCAGACCTGCATGCCAGTGCTGTTGGCTGGGTGAGCCTTGGTCTATCTTCAGGTGAAGGCAATGGCTTCTGTAACCTGCCAGGACTGGAGTGCTGGTTGCAGTCAATGCAACATGGTGGGGGGGTGGGGACAGCAAGGAAGAAAAACAGCCCCTGAGGTTGAGGGAGATATAACATATTGCCCCACCTTGGAACTCAGATACAGTGATGTCTTCAGAGGGCTGCACTTGAGACCTTGAGGTAGAGACCAAAAGAGGCAATGACGTGTATTTGGCTCTGTACATTCAGGCACTCCACCCTGGCTTCACTTCCACTCGTGACCAGGCATCACTTTATATCTTTATTTGTATGCCAATGCCAGAGTCTATGTATCTATAGGTGTATAGATCTACTAAATCACATTTGTAGCAAAACCTAAAAAATACTGGAAAGTATATGCCCATGACCAGTCAAATTTAGAATTTGTCTTAATCTAAAGTTATGGAGACAGACTTGAAAGGAGACATCCCCAACCTTGATAAAATGTAAGTACAAAAAGGCACAATTTGGATGGATATTGATGATGTTGTTTCTGTTGTGACATCATCCATAGACTCCTAGTGTCTTTGCTTTGCTTCCCTATAGTGATCACAACATAAATTACTTGTCTTGTTTGACTTCCTTGTTCACCAAAGTTGAGCAGATTGTGGCCGTTTTCAACGCTTCTACCAGACAAAAAGCTTGGGACCATTTCTCGAAAGCTCAGCGCAAGAACATAGACATTTGGCGAAAGCATTCTGAGGTTGGTGATTTTATTATTACTTTTTAACCACCATCACACAGCTGGATTGGCAGAAAGTAGTGTGGCTCCAGCCATTATGGTTTTTGTTACAGTGGGCAGTCCTCCTGCTCTTGTCCTGTCTCATTGTTCCTTCCAAATCCAGCTCCAATTTGTTCCTTGTCCAGGAAAGCAGCTGACTTCATACTTAGAACATTTTTCTCCCTTGGAAAAGGAGAAAAGAATCTTTCCCATTCACATTAAAGAGTTCAGATAGAAACCAGGATACTTTGCCTAAAATTCAGCTTGAACAAAAAAGTATAACTTAATATAGAAAAGTAGTTTTTAAGTACAGATTTTTTTCCAGTGCGCTACGTGATGATGATGGTTTGCTCTTTGGCTAGAAATGGCAAGTACGCCTTCCTGCTCATGTTTTGTCATCATAAGCCATGTCTTCGTTCCCTGTCCTAGCCATGAGATCTGTCACACCTCTGCCCAGAGTAAGTCTCACAAGGGGTGTGAATGTCCAGACTAGCTGAGTCCACCCTTCAGCATCAGTGCATGTGTGAAGTGTGAGTATCGACCCCCAAGGAGAGAGTCCAGACTTGGCTTCCCTTGCCACTCAGACAGACCAAAATGTGTCATTAGTCCTTGGTCATCCAGCTGTTATTTTTGACTGCACAATGTAGTATACGCTTTGAACCTGTAATTTAAAGTAAGTATACTGTTTGTTTGTTTCTTTTAAAAACAAATGAGAGACCTGTTTTCCATTTGGATGCCTCTTCATCTCTAGCATGTTAATATAAAGCTCTCTAAATGATATTCCCCTCTTTCAAAAGTCACAAACTTATAGAAGGTAAGGTTTATTTATTTAATGATTTTGGCTCACACTTGTAAAAGTAAATGTTTTATGAAGAGTTTGAGGATCCGCAAAGTACAGTGACATCAATCACTGGGGTAGCATTTTAAGTGCCCATTGACTAACGCTAAATTACACTTGAATACCAATGACATTAGATGTAACATCCACGTGAATACCAAATGAATTCTTTATTATCACTGCTATTATGGTGAATACTGAAATGACTTCACAATAATGGGACACTTAAAATGCTAGTGTAGTTTGTTGTCAAGAAGGGCATTTTATATTGTGTTGCTAGTGCCTAAGAAGGTGGTGGGTGACTGATAAAAGACTGTTCCTCTGCTCAAGATTATGAATAAGAAGGAGGCTGGATTTCCCTTTAATTTTTCAGGGGCCCAAAAATGGAAGATACTTACCTGATGTTCTCCCTGACATTGAACTGAGACCCAAGTCTAGGTTGATTTTCAGGAAGGATGTACTGTGGGTTATGAAAACACAAATTGGAATCCCTAAACTATTATTCAGATTTGGAAATGGTCAGTCTATGAGGTTTTTTGTTTTTTTGTTTTTTCACATAAAGAACAAACATGACTAAAAGGAATGTTGAGAAAGGCAGGTGACATGATACTAAATACACCTGGGCACAAAAAGGCTGCCATTAGTGTGTGAGTGGACATCATGCTTCCTGCCTTTTCTCAGTCCACTTCCCACCTTCCATTATCCCTGCCTTTTCCCAGACTGGTATGGACAAGAGCAGGGCATGCTAGGCGTCTAGGATTAGGCTTAGGAAGCCTGTCTGCTCTGTGTGGCCCTGGGATAGAATGGACACTCCAGGGTAATGGAGAGAGGATGGTCCATTTCTGCCCCATCTTTCTGTGTACATTAGGCAATGGAACTCTCAATTACCTTTGATTTTCTCTCCTATGTGTCACTTAATTGATTAAATACCGGTTGGTAATTTAACATTGTGGATGATTTCTCAGTTGCATATAAGCTTGATAATTGGCTTGATTTTTTTTTGCAATCCCATGTACAGCATCTGTTAATTATCTGCAACACCTCTACAGATTTATTGGAGTGTAGTAGTGATTTACTGCTGAACCATAGGCACCCTGTGGAAACACCCTCAGTTTTTCTCCCTCCAGTGTTTTCCCTTTCTCCCACCCTTCCCCACAAAAACAACTGTCTATGAGAGTTTGTTGTTAATTGTAGGACTAACAAGGGGCTCTTCCATCCTCATTTATTCTTCTTACACAACTTTGCCTTGTTTCAAGTATTTTTAAGCCACCTCTTTGGGAATTGGATTCTTAGTCAATAGAAAAATTAGCTATCTGCCACCTAAAAATTTCCCCACTAATCAAGTGTGACACCTGCCTCCAAGACCTCATGGTGTTATTTAAAATAGAATCAGCACTTCTTTCTGCTAAGGGGTATGTTCAAATATGGAGATGTCTGCCAGTGGCATCTCAGGGCTACCCTCTAAGTGCTCCTCCCTGGACCTTGCCCCATACTGTTCCTGCTTTCTTGTCCTCTGGAAAGGGTGATTCCTAGGGTACAGAGATGACTGTTGGAGTACTGTTAGCAATAAGTCACTTCCTTTCTACAGTATTTAACTGTGGGCAAAGGAGAGAAGAGAACTGAGAGAACCTATAACACAGAGTGACAAATACACATCCATTGAATGGGCAGTGGAAAGATGTTTAGTCATAGCACTTACTAATAAATTAGTAATGGACTTTTATTGTTACTCATAGGTTTATTATAAAAGTAAAATTATTTTAATGATTTGACTTTTGTTTAGAAACATCATTTAAAAAATAGGAAAAAAAGATTAATGGAGATTTTTTTCTTGTTTCAAGTGTTTTGAGGATCATATATATAAGAGAACAGAATAAGGATTCACAGATACGTAATATGCCATTTGGTATGAAATAATGATATAATTATTTAATATAAATGATTACAACATTCTGATTTTAGGCATAGTAGTAAGAAATTTATTATGTAATTCTTTACCGTTTACAATGTACTTTCTCATATGCTCTTGCATTCAAACAACCTTACATTGTTATTATTCCCTCTTTAAGAGTGAGCACACAAAGGTCCAAAGAAATCGAATGAGTTGGTTTAGTGAGCTAATTTCTCCTAGTCAGTGGAGAAAGCAGGATATGGTCCTAAGAGCTGGGACTCTAAAAGTCATGCTGAAGCTACTGTTACCACAAAGCCATAACCCTACATGACAATGTGAGATGCAAAGAGAGAAGTCCTCTGTTTTTATTTTGTTCCCCCAACATCTTTAGAATGTTAAATTTTGGATCTATGCATGGTGTGAGTGCATGGGTCTGTGATCACACACACAGGCATATACCCATAACAGGGGTACTATGTGTGAAAATATGAGTGGTCAGTAGAATTAACTCAGCAAACCACGTGTTCAACATAATGTGGAGTTTTACACGCATAACTCATTTCATCCTCAAAACCATTAGAACCACAGTATCCCAGTGAGAAAATTGAGTTTAACAGATATGAAGAAATGTTCCCAAAGCTACACAGCTGGCCAGTGGTAAACTAGGCCTTTTGAAAATTCCTTTCCTCAGGTTCTTACCAGTAGCTGTAGTCCCTACTATGTGCCAGCCATGTAATAGTTGTTTCTATATAATCTTTGCAATAGTTCTGCTAGGTAGATATTAGTTATTATTCCCTCCATTTTTTTTACAAATGAGGGAACTGAAACTCAAGAGAGAGTAAATAATTTTCCAAAGGGCCCTTAACTAGTCATTGGTGAGCAAGGATTTATCTCAAGTCTGAGACCAAAGCTTTTACCTTTCTTCTAACCCATCCCCCTCAGAACATCATTCTAGATTAGGTGGGGTGATATTTGGGTAAAAGCTTCAAATGCTAAATGTTGATATGTCAGTCATAATATACCCAAATACCACTGGGAAAAGCTATGATGACTCTGACATTCACATATTCTCTACTTCCAGGAGCTCCGGAATGCTCAAAGTGAGCAGCTCATGGGCATTCGCCGTGAAGAAGAGATGGAAATGTCTGATGATGAGAATTGTGACAGCCCTACTAAAAAAATGAGAGTCGATGAATCAGGTAATGCTGATAACTGCCACATACCCAGGAGGTATCATAATGAGGTCCAAATCTTAGGTGGGGAATAAGTACTGGGAAGTGGCCCTATAACTCACTTTCATCTTTGAGTGACTCTGCATTTTATTGATAGAACTTTAAACTCCTTCTTGGGAACATCGTGATTTAAATTGCTCCAGTTGTTTCTCTGTAGATCTGGGGCCATTATCTTTTTTTCAGGGATATTTGCTTTTTCCTATAAAAATCCTTTTCCAGAATATGGCAGCTACAGCTGATGCTAAAAGACAGTATAAAATTTGGTTTCAGTCTGTGTACTTCTTACTTGGGAATTGTTTAATCCCTGGAAGCTTTCTACTCTCTGAGCCAAAGTGCTGGAAAATTAGACATTTTTCTCAATACACTTTAGTTCACCTAACCTCTAATCAAAAGGGTGGCCCAATTTGGTACCAAGTGAGGGGCGTCACTCCTTGAGATGTAAAAAAGAAAGAAGCTTAAAGAGAATTTAGCTTTGTGTGCTCTTGTCTAACCAGAGGTGCTGATTAAAACTCTCCTCAAAGTGTATGTAGGATATTTGGTACTGTAAAGGCAGGCAAGGGAAATGCTCATTCAAACCGGAGAGACTGAGGGAGACAGCTTGTCTGAGGGGAGGTATATCTGAAGGACCTGGGAAGACCCACAGTGCCACCATTCCCAGAAAAGCACATTAGAGAGGTGGTGCAGGTTTGTTCTGTCTCCTCAGGTGTACCAGTAAGTAAAACACACACTTATCTCAGGCTTTTTAATAGAAAGACTACAGATGACTAAAATAGAGAATCTTTGCTAATTTGCTGATGAAAGTATAGGGGTAAAAAGGCTTCCTTTTCCCTCTGAAGGTTCACTGGGATGAACTGATAGTAGAAAGACTCAGTGGGAAAAAGATACACACATTTATGCTGTGCACAGCGGCAATCACAAAATCTAATCATTACCCTGCAGCCCAACATGAATCACAAGCTTGTACACCTCCTTTCCTGAGGGAAAGGGACACAATAGGAAACGTAGACCATTTTTAGGGGAATAGTAAGTGATTTCTAGGGGTACTCAATGGTCTTGGACAAAATGGTCCAAAGAGTGGCCTGGCACAAAGTTCATCCAGTCTGCAGAGCAGACAATGGATTATAAATGATTCCGACTAGAATGTTGAATAGGACCAAAATAAAAGACAATGGTGTGTGACAAAAGTCTGTCAAGATGTGTTGATGGACTTCAGTCTCTTTTCCTACAATATGAATTTAGTTTATGAAAACTCAGGGAAGAGACCAGTAGTAATTGTTTTCTTCCTTGGAGAGTCTGAACTTAGAGCCAACAGGAAGTATTGGGGTAAAGCCTCTTCTAGCATCTGCTGCTCTCTAAGTTCTTGGAACTTGAAATAGTTGGCATGCCAGGGCATCATAGGATAGGGTGACCCTCCCTGTTCTCATTCAGAAGCCAAGACCAAGATTCCAAAACCATCAGGTCATCAAGAATGCAGAGTGATCAGGATGGACACAAGGAAGCTCCTGCAACCGGGCCATGTAGAAAACTTTTAATTTCCTTTAAGTAGTGCTTCTTGAAAGTGTAGTCCCCAGTCTAGCAACATCAACGTCATCTAAGACCTTATTAGAAATGTAAATTCTCAGGCCCCACTCACAACCTACTGAATCAGAAACTTGTAGGGGTTGGGGAAATGAGGTCCAACAGGCTGTGATTTTAGCCTTCTGGGGAATTCTGATGGATACTTGCTAAAGTTTGAGAACCACTGCCTTAGCTAATTTGGCTTCATTCATTGAAGTCTTATAAAGGCTTAGCATACAAGTAAGCACCAGTCTATTACTTTCTGAAGCCATTTATCCTTTGGCTGGAAAAAACCAAAAACAACCTAGCATTTAAGTCTCTATTAAGTTGCTAACATATTTCTCAAGACTTGTTTTGCGATGGGAATTAGATTTGTTTATTTGAGGAGACCTCCTTCCTCACAGCATTTCTAGTCTACAAGCCTTCACATGTGAAAAGAAGGGAGTATTAATAAGATATTCTTAAATTCAGTAAGATCTTGAGATAAAAAAAAATTCCCAATAAAGCTTTCATCATTTTTGAAGTTTCTAGATAAGGAGAAAATTACATGAAACTCGGATTCTTGACATACCTTATAAGATAGGTGTAGAAGAAAAGAATGGAGTCAATCAGAAATTCAAAATTTGAAACTATTGGGTTTTTTTTTTTGTGACACTTCTTTTTAAACAACTTGTCAATTTTCCAAGGAAGAAATATGTATAATTTTATAGTTTAAATAAATTTTATAGACTAAAATAAGAATGGCTGAGCAGTAGGCTCCCTGAGGAGATCTTATGAACCTATTGGTATGTATATACCTACAGGACTGGTGACTGACTTCTGATGCAGAAGCATACACAGATGTCAAGGACCTGTCCCTTCAGCAAGGACCAGAGGTCCTCTCTAAAGTTCTGACTGAAGAGCTCTCTTCCCAGACCTCTATTGGTTTTTCCCTAAGCATTTGATGAGAGCATGAAGTAAGACCTGAACTTTCGCACACTTTCACCAGACTCAGTAGTTGGTCAGCAGAATTAATGAACAAACGCAGCAGCTGTCCCAGGAATTCTTGGGAGTTCTTGGAAAGAAACTCCTTCAGGGAAGAGGAGTCATGTGCCTATGCCAGGAGGATGTGGTGAGGCCACCTCCTCAAGGTGCTCAGGTTTGGTGTCCCAGTGCCAGCTTTGCATATCATCTCCCCACTAAGACAAAGCCCACCCCAGGGGGTTATTTCTGGGGAAGATAGAGAGAATTGATTTTGTTTCTACAAAAGCCACAGTTTATTATGTAAGGATTTGTAGAATACCTTGGGTTTAATTTTTTTAATAATCAAAATGTTTCAGTATACCTGTGCTTTTCTGGTTATAAAGTCTGTTTCGTTGTATTTTTCCTTATTACCACATAAAATAATTCATGTCTTTGGCTAGAGTTGCCCAGTGCAGCTCAAACTGCAATATTTTAATTCTGGGTGGGCTATTCATACTTCCTCATTGGTAGACCTTAAGAAAGAAAAGGATTTTGTTGGAGCAAAACTAAGATATTGATGAAAATGGAAATTAATTTTGTTAATGAATTTAAGAGTCATGACAGATTTATCAAAGCATCCATTCAAGAAGATCAACATCCTGCTCTGAAGCTTGTGAAGATTATTTTTGATAAAAATGCAAATGTATTATTGCTTAGTCTGCCTCCTACTGGAATCAAGTCAAATTTTTAAGTGCAGATCTACTCCTCATCCACACCCCCCATCCCTGTTCCTCCCTCTCTGCCTCTTGACAGTGGAGGTGGGGCAGGTGTACACAAGGAAGAAAAAGAAGGGAACAAGAAGTCTGTGCTACATTGTGAGGCTTAGTGTGGCAGAGCCTGGTTTATTTTAGCATTATGAAAGTTAAATGAGCCAAAGCATGTAAGGTACTGATTTTACTCATAATGCCAAGTACAAAATAAGTACTCAGTAAGCATTAACTCTTCTTACTGTCTTATTCATCCTCCAGTACTGTCTTATTCATACCTCCAGTTCTAAGTTCTCAGTAAGTTTGATGACTTCAGTTACATATTCCTCTTCATCTGTACCTATGTTGTATATTTCTGTGGAAATACCTGCTTTTGATGCCTTTCTTCCAAAAGTAGAGGAAGATGGTAGCCCTGAGAACATTTTCTTTGATTCTCTTTAAATGGCATATGTTAAGAAGCTTGTTCAAATAAGGACAATTTCTTCCCCCAAATGTTTAGGACTTTCTTACAAGACTCAGTGCCATACACTGAACAGGTGATGTTCTAATTACCAGCAAACATTCATAGAGTACTTTGTCCATGTTGAAGGCATCTCTGACCTGGGTAGAAAGGATTGGACATGGTACCCTGCCCTCCATGTATGAGATGCCTTTTTAAGAGGATAGACATTTTATGTTAGTGAAGGTTCAATGTCCAATAATAACTGTGTCCTAAAAGCATTAAACTGAATCTAGTATGAACCAAAGTGAGCATCACTACTTAGTGTATATTCCCCATCCAATATTTGGTGAGTGTTCAGGGAATTTAAATTTTAGAAGAGTGAAATTAAAATGTCCCTTGCTTAATAGACAACACCTAAACCATTCCATAATACACAAACAAATGCTCTTGGATTTTAGTTGCATCTCACTTAAACTCTGAGCTCTTTATAGGAGCACACACTCTGTAAATGATTAAGTTTTTAATTTTCTGTAGAAACATACAACAGGTAAAGACTGCTTTTTTATAACTTCTTCAAGAAGTCAAACAAGGATTTTCCAAATCTTCCAGCCAAGTTAGTCAAATTGGGTATTCAATTAAGTTTAGTTAGAATTAGCAGTATTTGGTCTGCATAGCTTCAGATGCAACTGGAAGCTTTAGGTTAAAAAGGTTCTTCATAATACGGCCGTGTCTGGCCGTCCCCGTGAGTTTAGGACTAGCTTTGGTTTTCAGATACAGTGTACTTCTCTAGAGGATGCTCAACACAGAGAGCATAAACAGACACAAACCTAAAACAAGACTCACTGTGGGGCCTGCACCAGCCAGGCACAGAAAAAAAGGGTTATTAACTGCCACCCCAGAGTCTTGCAGCCAACTGAAGGGACCAGCTGAAGGCACCATGTCAGTGGCAGCTGCTATAGGCTTCCTTTTAGGAAGCACTGACTGTGATCTAAAGCAGCTGACTCTGCAGTGGCTCCGGACTTGGGAAAGAGACCAGAGCATTCAAGCATGGAAAGAGGGAGGGCTCAGTTGCAGGCCACATGCATGCCAGGGTCCTAGCTCCCCGCTGCAGCAGACCCCAAAGCCAGAGTGGAAGGCTGGAAGGACAATCTGTTTTCCCATGTAATGACAGCCTGAAAGAGAAACAAAGCAGTGGTACATATCTAGCAGTGACCACGGAATTAAAAGGCAAGCATCTTCTTTTCAGCCACAAGTGAATA